GAAGAGCACTGGACAGTCCCGGGAGGGGTGGGGAGGGGAAGAGGACGGGGCGCGGCGGGGCGTGGCGAAGATGCCGCCCCGGGGACGATCCACCTATATAAGCGCAGGGCCGCCGGACCACCGCCTGCTTCAGCGTAGCTCTCTCGACGCACGAAGACCCACATCATGGCTTTCAAGGTAGGTCCGCTGTTCCAGAGCGCGGCTGATCCGCCTCCGCAACCTTAACCTTAACCTCCGCGCACCGCGCCGCCGAGGCGTGGTCGCGCAGCGCTGTGGTGACGCCGACTGGGAAACGCAGCCGAGAGCGCAAGTGTTGCATGCAGCCGCGCTGATTCTCACGAGCCGCGCTTGAGATTTCTCTCAGAGTCCTATACTGGATTTCGTTTGGGCTGTGAAAACGTGTTAGGTTTTTATTCCACTTTTGAAATTCTTTGTTACGTCATTCTATCTCTCAAGTATCTACTTGTTTGCTTTGGAGAATGAGAGCTGTTCTCTTCAGTTTTGAAATTGTATTCGTCGGGCCCAGTCTTGAAATTTTTTCGGGCCTGGCGTATTTGAAATTTTTGTCAGATATCTACCTTTATAGCTTGCTTAAACGCACTACTTACGTGTATTCGGAAACTTAGTATTGAAATAAGCTTCGAGCGAAGCAATATTTTTATCTCTTTTTGATCTGAGTTACGTTCGTCTTGGTGCCAAATAACCGTGGTGTTTGTAACTTTGCTAGGGTACATACCCTCTTATTATTAGCCCTGCATTCATCTAGCGACATAACTTTTAATGTTAAAATAATTTTCATAGATATTTCGGATTCGCCGCGTTCATCTAGGTTCCTTATTGCAACACTTTCCCAATTTCCTTGAGCATCTCAAGGGAAGGTTCCCTATTGTAACGCGCCGCGTCTCTTGCAGCTTGTCCTCGCCCTGTGCCTGGTGGCGGCGTGCCGCGCGGCCGTCGTGCCGCAGTCGGTGGTGGAGAGCGCGGAGCCGTTCGACGCCAACCCCCAGTACACCTACGCCTACTCCGTCAACGACGGCGTCACCGGCGACTCTAAGGTGCAGCAGGAGACCCGCAGCGGCGACCTCGTCCAGGGCTCCTACTCGCTCGTCGACCCCGACGGCACCCGCCGCACCGTCGACTACACCGCCGACCCCGTCAACGGCTTCAACGCCGTCGTCTCCAAGGAGCCCGCGGCGCGCGCCTTCGTGCAGACCCCCGTCGTCGCGCCCGTCGCCGTGGCCCAGCCCGCCTCCGCCGCCGGCCCCATTGTCGCCAAGGTGGCTGCCGCCTCCCCCAGCGTGAGCTACAACTACGCGTACTCCGTCCCCGCCGCCGTGGGCCCCGCCGTGGCGAAGGTCGCCTCTCCTGTCGTCTACTCTGGCGTGCAGACCCCTGCCTCCACTAAGGCCGCCATCAACTACGCCTACGCCTTCCCCACTGTCTCTAACGTGGTCGCCGCCCCCGTCGTCTCCAAGGCTGCCGTCGCCACCCCCGCCGTCAACTACGCCTTCTCCGTGCCCATTGAGGCCGCCAAGGTGAAGGCTGTCTACCCCGCTGACAAGCAGGAGAAGCAGCAGATCGTGTACTCTGCCGTGCAGCCCGCCGCCGTTTCTGCCGTCCAGCCCATCGCCGGCGTGCAGTCCGCCTTCGTCTCTGCCGTGCAGCCCGCCACCTACGCTGCCTACTACCAGCAGCCCCTGGCTACCCAGGAGTACGCCGTTTACGCTCCCCACCAGCAGTACGCTCTTGCCCAGCAGTACGCTCAGACCTACTCCTACCCTGCTGTCTACGCCCCTTTCTACAAGAAGTAGATTGTTGACGTTTGATCCTCATCCCAAATCCCTAGCCATGGAATGTACATTTGTGTTCGCCGCTGTAACGTAATTTTCTAAACCTTCTCCTTTTCGTGAAATAAAAAAATTCTACTATATGTATGTGTTTTAATCAAAACCTTATTTTGATGTTCCTTAATAAATATATCCTTTATTTCGTTTCAGTATTTCGCTTCTATGAATGAAAATACTGAAGCTGAAAATTTTCCACGCTCTTTCCTTAAGAGCCACCATATTGCATTCTTAACTACAAAGCTATTATTAGTAAATCTGAATAGTTTTTCAACCAATTGAAAATAATACAAATTTCTGGACTTAAAGCAATTACTTTTGTTTTTTGTAGCAAGAGAACAACCAAGAAACATATGGTTAAGTATATTCTTTATTGGAGTTATCGAATTTTTCTATTATAGTATAAACAACAATGATATCCCAGTGTTGTTTGTTTTGAAATATGAGTAATAGTTACAGTTTTTAAAAATTGGAAAAATAAGTAGATCCCTTTCCGTTTTATTGTAAAAAAATGTAGCCTATAAAACATAGCGAAAGTGACTGCTTGTTTTGCAGGACACGCCATCTTGCCTCATTTTAAAACTCCATGGATCTATAAATCTGTTCAGGGAATCGTTACCATGCAAGTGCATTGATGGGACACGTTTATTTCCTTTTCTGTGTTATATTTGGCCGCCAATGAAAGGGTCTTTGGTGTCGCATAACGGTTTTAGAATGAAATTGGATGTGTGGGCTCACACATTATTCCGTTGCGACAGTTCGCCGTTTCACGGCGCGTTGGAGTCTCTTACCCCTGCATGGCCGCCAGCCCGCGGGCTACAGCTTTGTTGCGGGTTGCGTCGCGCAGGTGCCCAGTCGCCCCCGGGCGCAACGCATTTGCGGGTGACCTTCATCTGGCGTGGCCGGAGAAGGGGGAGCGGGTGGATCTGCGTTCCTTTTTTGCGCGGCCCGCCTCCCGACCACGCCCTTGAACCAGGGCGAGCGCGGACGCACGTGCGCCGGTCGGCGGCCAGCGGTGAGTTTTGCGTCGAGTGGGAGCAGGTTTGGCGATGCGCCGCCGTCACTGCTGCCCTCTTAACCACTGACGTTGATGGGAGACTTTGCTTGTTTTCTTCCCCCATCGGGCATAAACATCCATCACCACTGCAATCTCCTTGGATTTTGTTCTTTCTGAATATATAATTTAAGGCAGAGCATGCACATCATATACCTTTCCCCTTATTTTTCTCATAAGATATTTATTTTCAGTCTATTCAGTGATTGACGTCGCCATTTAAATTGTCGACGCGAGGTTTTGCTTATTTTCGACTCCCAGTATACTGTCAGTTTTGTGATATTTATTTTCTTTTATTCAAAATCATATTTTAGTTCAGATATTTTATGTCCACCGAGTTTAATGATTTTTTTTCCTGGAGACAAACTATTTCCTTCGCTTTTTGTATGACTTTAGTTTCGTGATTAATCTGCGTGTCACCTCTACGATATCTTCTCATTTTGTTCTCTGTTGCTTGCCATTGTCAATGTAGGCATTTTGATCAGAGATCCAAGCTCTGCGTTTAACTCAGTGTCATCAATATACTTCCCTGCTATTGTAACCACAGGGAATATAAATGTAAGAATCTCCGTCTCACGGAAGTTGTATCCGTTCGCCCCTCGCTTCTTCCTAATCCATCTGGTTCTTTTGTCCTTCCGAAGCGTTAAGCTTGTCTGATAGCCTCTTCCTCCATTCCTCCGTTCCTGCCACCGATTTTGCTGCAGCTGCCGCGCTTGTTCAGAAACTTGGCTGGAGTCATGCAACTTGTTTACGTAGGTAGTTGCCTAACTGAGCAGATGCCATTGAGAGGGAACGGAAATAGACAATGATGAATTTACAGGTCTCCTCTTACATGGTTCGGTTTAAATCCACAGGATTTTTTCTTGCAAGTTTTATAATCTCGTATAATCGATGCAAGGGATGGAGAAGACAAGCTCGATATTTCAAAAGAAGAAATATGTATGACAACAGTTGTGTTGAAATAACATCATTTTTACTCGTGCGCTTGTTACTGAAAGCAAATAATAAATTTCAAGACATTATGTTCTTTTATTTTCAGTTATGAATCATGTTTGTATACATTTTAAAACGCAATATTAGATGTGCATTGAATCGATCTTCGGACTTACATTCGGGCTTCCATTCGAGTTGAGCTTCAATTTAAAATATTGCTAATAAATGTTTGTTGTTTTGTAATCTTCGCTGTTTTGAAATTGAGTTATCTCGAAAAATTTCTAGAAAAGGTTCAACGAAGTAACTGCCATGGTGAATAACAGTGGAAAAAACATTTTCTTTAATACCAATATATTATGATTGTGACCAAGAAACGTTAACTTCCCGTTAAGCCATAGTAATAAATTTATCGGAATTAAGAAACTTAAGTCGTATTAACTTTAACACAGCTCTGAATCATATATGAAAGTCAATGTTTGTTTATTTGATCATACTTAATGCTCTGCCGTATCTGTCATTCGAATGCGATAAAACTTCGTCAACTTATTACTTGCACTTTTGTGAAGGGAATAGGCATAGTACAATGAAAATGTGCATATGCATGCGCAGGTAGACGCGCGTTTATGATGATTTTGTGTAGACTCAAGGGCACTGATAACAGCGCTTGACGTCAGGGCGCTCTCAATATATCCCGCCGCACACTTAAGTACGGTTATTAAGGCGTCTTCTTTGCGGATTCTGCTCCGGTGATTGTGGAATTTCTCCTGGTAGACACACACACATAGAGAGAGAGAGAGAGAGAGAGAAGAGAGGGCGAGAAAGAGAGAGAGTGTGTCTTTTGTCGCGAGAAAGTCTTTCGTCTATTGAAATTTTTGCAGAACGTAATGTAAAACGTGATTATCAATCACGTGACCAGTAGCATGTGAAGTGTAATACATTGCAATAGCGAAGCATTGCCGAGTCCACTAGTGATGTCTATATATAAATACAATGATAATGAAGCTCACAATATCAAGGCGTAGCTTTCATAGAGAACAAGTATCACTAAAGGTGCGTTTACACGGAGAGAGTTTTGTCTCCTAACTTTCCCGAACTGTTTAGGAGACACGTGTAAACTCTCAGGAGAGCGATCTTCTCTCCGAAGACATGACGTCACAAGAGATTTTTCGAAGTCTCGCGAAAGAGAGCAGTGTAAAGACTCCTGAATCGATGAGGAGACGTATCCTGGAGATAAAAGTATTCAAAGAGAGTTGGAAGATTTTTGCTCTTCCTTGCATGTGTTTTACGGTGCTCGATTAGGCCATTCTGCGTCTCTGTCTGTGGTCTGTGCGGGCGTTCCAACGTGATCCGTTGGATTTCTGTTCTTTGTGGAAATTAATATACTGGGGAATTATAAATACAACTGACAAAGGACTGTATGTATCTTCTGTGGTCCAAACCGCGTGCAGTCAAACCAAGTCTCCCGGAAATAAATTCTTTTCCACTTTTCTTGCTTTTTGATTGGTGAGATATTTCCTAATAACATATGCAAGATCTTCGAAGTTACGAAGTTTTTGTACATGAAATATTATCGTTTAATAATTTATTTTTATTCCTTTATCAATGGAAACTTCAAATTAAGGATTAATTGTAAAATTGTTATATAAAACCATAATTTAGGTCTTCTCTTTCATATGCCTACCCTAGGTGTAATGCTCTTCTACCAAAATTTAACAATTTTCAACGAAATTCAAATAATCTCCTTCGCAACATGTTATACTATTTCTATTTATATCATACATCAAATTTACAGAGAACTTAAAATTGATTCTTCAAATCGTTTATAACTTAACTTCACTAAAAGTTTATACAACAAATATCACTTCACCATTTTTCAAACCTTATATTGGTCATAACTATTTTCCTCATCATGGACTCCGACCGTTTTCCAAAAAATATTTTTTTTAATCGTCAGTAATTATAATTGTTTTTATTTTAATTGTCTCTGAAAAATGTTAATGCTATGGAACGGTAGAAATAAAATATTTTTTTTTAAAAATCCTCTTCTTGCAATTCGCCATCAAGAGTTTTTAAACTTCAGTTCTTCTTTCTCAGAAAACAAAATCACTCCACTTGTCCGTTTCCTTTCCTCCGTTTCTCAAAATTGGTGAAAGTGCACAGGCAGCTGAAGCATTGTCAATTCTTAACTTCAACTGCTCCCGCTGCTTATTCCAGAGGCTGCGCCGGAGAACATGCGAGAGGACATTTGTATCAGGTAAACAGCAAGGAGATACTTTTCCGGAGATATCTCAGGAACCAACTCTCCGTGTGGTGGAGACTCGCGTTTCCGGGAGAATATTTCGAACGTGTAAGCGTCAGAGAGAATTTATCTCCGTGACGTCATGAAGTTAGGAGACTTTGTCTCTTCGTGTAAACGCACCTTAAATGAAAATAATTCTGTGGTAGTTGGCTTCGGGAGTCTCATTTTACAATAAATGATGGATATGTTCAGCCCGCTCAACTCTATAGTTTTATTGTTACTACTAGCAACTCCAGTTTTGTAAACCAAGGCTCTAACATCACTTCTTTGCAAAGTCTATACTCGTAATATATGACGTTAAAAACGCATTTTTTTTATTCTTTCTCAAACAAAGCATGCCACTTTATTGATGTGACTTGTTCAAATATCCACAGTGAAAAAATATACTTGCTTTGCTTTCTGCACTGCATAATATTGTCTGCTCTCTGCTCTGAAAGATCAACAGTCTATGCCAAATCGATTCCAAATACACTTGTGTTTGTGAAAATTGCAACTCTCAGAAGGAGTGGTCGGACTCACAAATCGGCAATGTGTAGAACAGTGTCTATAAGAAGTATTTAAATTTGCGAAGAGATGGCGTGCACTTGTGATTCATGTGCACGTGAGTATATTTGATATGCTTCAAACATTACAGGTGTTCTAAAACCTTTAAATTTTAGAAATGTTTTCTATATCGA